GTAATTAGACATATTGCACGTTGAGCGGTTGGCTAGTCCCAAATAGCCCATAATATCAGAGGCTCCTTTGCCAGTATCTAACTACTCTATTTCTTAGTGTGCATGCATGTAACTGTTTGCGGAGTTTGGAGTCAACTTTGGGAAGCAAGACGGTTTTACAGCGAAGAGCGTGAGCGTTATATCAGATAAGACAGAATAAAATCTGTGTGCGGTGTTTCGTCTAAAGCACAAGTGGACCCTTTAATTATGAGTGCAAAGATGAAGGCAAGATTCGGGAAGTACATCCCTCTATCTCCCATTCCGTTCAGGGAAAGTCTGCGAAAGAAGCGGATCAACGGTGCAGCAGGTATTGTACAGTTATGAGACAATGTTTGAGATTTCTACTATTCTCGCGAAACTACGTATATAGTATTTCGTTGTCGGCTCGCTGGAATAGGTCATGTGAGGAGAATGCGCGTTAAACCATTCTATATTTTAATGACCTGTCACGATTTCGATGTCATTCTGCACGTCACCGCACTTTCGCGCACTTTTAGAGGAGCACACGTTACTGTGATTACGACTCATCATAAAATTTATGATTATACACAATGGATACGTGTTCTGCTTCATGAATCCTGTGCAGGCAGCAGAGTCTACTATTTATCCGTTTCTATTGGCGCTGTGTTCCACTCATAGATAGCAAATCAAATGGAAATTGTATAATTCGGCGCTGGCGACAGCGCGGCGCTATGGCGGTCGCCCTTACCTCATTATGGGGAACGCAAAGGCTAGTAATCGTACGATGTTGGCGCTGCTACCGCGCGATGATACATAGCTGATGATGTGAGTAGTTGCCTCAGCAATACGCTGATTCCTAGCATCGCTAGCATCTGCAGCGATCGCGTAGATGTGCTGGGCGGCTAAGTGCCGATGTACATGAGAGGAACGTGAAGTGCTGTCGTCTTGAATTAATGTGATGAGACGAGAATGTAGGCAAACTCTCGCATCGGTGCTGACCTAGTTCTGTGGCAAAACACCGCGCCGATTCTATACCACATTTAATGATTTACTATGAAATCCAAGGACGGAGACTGACAGCGTTTAATCTCTTCATTCTCCCTATACACTCCGAATTTATCCCGTCGAAGGTTATACTATATTGTATGAAAACTATAACTTTTGCATAGCACTTTTTGTGCAATTAATTAGTTATATTGGACTAATTTCGCGTTAAATTAAATACTTTACTCAGTTTGCATAAATATTTGAATAACGTTTCATTGACATAGATCGCGCGTTTTGCATTTCTTTAAAAAAAAGCTACTACAGATACCGCAAATGTGGCTCTTTATTTTGTTCAAATAATGTGAAAAAGTAAATATACGCTGTATTTTATTTCACCTCGTTTGTTTGTCCTAATTATGCCATCTAAACGGATAATTGGTCTGATCGCAGTGTAAACGAAATATTCTGTAAATTATAGATGTATAGTGGGTGGGTTTGCGTTGAACATGGTAGGCGAGTGATTGCGTGCATGCTTTCATTCCGCCACCATCAATAATTCATTGCATTATTATCCAGCCCATGCAGCCCCGACACTCTCTGCGTCTGCAGACGGGCAGATGTTTAGTAACTCTATGCATTCACTATATTCCCTTTCATTTTGTACGGCAAGTGTATCCATTCTCGCATGTCATTATAGAGATGAACAAGCTAATTAGCCCGCTACGCTGAACACAATCAGTACAGATCATGTGAAGGCCACAACCTTCGCTTAAATTACAACTTTAACACTTTCTGTGCATCATTTCTGAATTCACAGTAAGCGTACCCACCACCGATCGCTGCAGTATAGAGACGATAATATCCAGGATGATCGCGCCCCTTTCTTCTCACTAACAACCAGCTAGGAGCGAAACTGTTTGTCGGCAGTGTTTTCAAAGATCGAAATATCTGCGTGGAAACTACAGACTGGCTTCATCATAATCGTTCGTAATGGTTGGGTACTACTACTGTCAGTCGGTATGCAGAACAGTGTGTCAATCACTCGTGCAAGACGGATAGACGTTCAATTGTAATGTAGCGACAACATTGTTGTAATTTGTATTTAGCGGTTCGAACAGCCTTGAAGATATGTTTACAAAATCCACTTGTGGGAGATACGTACCAGCTACGTCCGTATCCGTGAGAACATCTACACACCCACACCGCCTAACTCCACCCTATCGTTTAGCGTAATCTTGTGTCAACATTACCATTACTAATGCCAGTGCGCGGGAATTTAGTAGACTGCCGCGTGAAATGAATTTAAAAAATGATTTTATTGATTCTAACTCGGCTGCCTATATAGCTTTACATCGCGTAATAGCTGTAAAAACGACAGCGTTATTGCTGCTGCGATTGGAGCCGTACTGACACGGTATCACAAATAAGGTTTACTAGGTCAGAAACAGCAGCAATTGTGGGCTTCACTGGGTCACGACCAGACAGCGATGCAGACGCTGCGCACGACTTCCCTCAGCATCCGACAAGTAGTACGGGAGAGCATATGCGCGCGGGTGTAATCGCCCACTGAGAGACTGCGCACGTGGCTTATCAATTATTTGCGTGATCGGCGGATGCTGTGAGGTCTAACGATGTATGCGAATACGATTATACGCCAGCGGCCCGTGCTTCTATCGTCCGCTGGCAGTGACTGGCGACAGTCCGCTGCCGCAGTTTCGGCGTGAGAGCATGGAGATCATGGTATTGTCGTACGGGAAATTTGTCGGTCACTGGGCGAGCGGAAAGGCATTCGCTTCCAGACTGGTGGCCAGTAGTGCCAGTAACAGAAACGGTACGTCTACGTTATTATAGTTTCGTTGTGAGCATTGGGGAATAACGGCAACCGAGTTTATATCGCGTGTCTATTTATCGTTTGAAATTATAGAATTGTATTATTATTTGATGTCATCACATCTATTCCGCTGCGCGTGATTTTTCCTTGGCTGCGTAGGTGGATTACTGACAGTGCATAATAGTTCATCGTTGAAATCTGAATTGAAGGTGTGAGGAGCATGAAACGCTCCAGGCTAAGAAACTGTCATAATGAGCGACAGAATAGAAACCTGATCGCTATCGCTAAAATATGCGTCAAAGATTGTTAATCTATCGGGTATATCCGTGTGCTGTTATTAGAAAAGGGCGATGTAGAATACCGAACTATCTGCTGATGTAAAAAAAACATCGCATTGCACTATTTTCTTTTTGAAGGAATGATAACATTGGGATCAAAATATCTCAGTAAAAAGTAGATATACGTAGAGAAATATTAAGAGAGTTTATTTAATACGTATAACTCAAGCTTGACATTTTTCGTAATAGGATTTACTACAAATGTAGTATACAAACTTTGTATCATTTTCGACCGGTTGAACACATTATACTGATCACAATGGCTCTCATTCCAATAATTTTTCGAAACGTGTGTTGAAGAGTACAGAATGTCTACGGTTAGTAACGGTGCAAACTGTTTTTACGCACGCTCAATGTTTTCACTAGTAACGCGTAAGTAAAAGGTGTGGTGAGTGTTCGTAATCTTTTCGAAGACAGCCTGAAGATCAGCTGTCCGGTGCTTGTTGAAGCGTCACATACTAACTGCTAAGCAGAACTGATATCCCACAAGGTTGAATGCGCACACGCTTTTAGAATTGTATTATTTTCGTCTGATAGAGATAATGTGATAATACGAGAGATATAATGTAGTAGTTTGCGTTACTGTCACATTGAATCGAGATGTAAATATTCTCACATAAACAGATAGCTACCGTTGTAATGTGCACTGGCGCCCACATGTCTTAAGAAAGTAGAAGCACAGAAGGATAAAATCCTCAATGATAATAAAGTAATAAAAAGCAGGCGCGCTGCATGCTAGGGGGTCTGGGGGCATGCCCCCCCTGAAACTTTTTGAATGGTAGACGTCTGGTGAGTCTTGCGAGAGAGATTTAGGAGCAAAATGTAGAAACAAAATTTTTTAACCCAAAATTTACTGGAAGCACTGTGCTTCCAGTGCTTCTATCTGCGGGCGCCACTGGTAATGTGACAGCCATTATTGAGCCATCGGTGGAATTTAGTGTATTTAATGACGCTCACGTACAGGAGAGAAGAGAAAGAGTACATTGACGCACTCCCTTGGGCTATAGCTGTCTGCGCTAGCGAGCCTCGCGATAACAAGGCCTACACCGCATGTAAGAAACGCGTTATGTTACTGCTTTTACACTCGTATAACGTGCGCGTCTCGTTAACTCCTTTAACTCTCTTCTAACTCTTAAATCTTAAAACCCTTATGCAATCTTACCATCCTGCGAAATCGGACACTGTCCTTAATTGCTCGTGACCGCGGCGGGGCATGAGACAAGACCCAAGACCAGTACGCTTATAGTCGCAAGATGCGAATTTTATAGGCTCCCATATAGAGGGCGTTTTATTACCGGAACACGGACACGACGAAAAAAGGGGCGTTGCACACGCATGAGCTCGCGTAACGAGCACGAAAACACGTACAACATATATGATATTAGTTCGAAGGGACAACGTACGTGCGGTACGACCGCAGGATGTGTAGAAATGCGCAGCTCACTACCGCGAGTTCGTGAGAGAACTGCACCGCTGACTTAGTAAGCGCTAATAAAACTTCATGCGCCTGCAGAAATCTGGCAATGTGTGTACTGAGGAAATGCCTTGCTACAGTGGGAGAGGTTTTTCGCGAGGTGTGATGCGCGTTAAAACACTGCGCAGTCACGTTTGCCCTTTTTGTGAAAAATAGTGAGGCATTCCGAACGAATACATGGTCGTGATTATGATTATGACCAAACAATACGCAATTATATATTGTATAAAGGAGTATTCACGAGGATCACTGCGCAAGTAACACATATTATCAGGAGTTAATAAAGACAAATTTGTCTTTATTAACTCCTGATATTATGCTCCACGTTTTACTAACACGCCAACCACTGACATTCTCTCTCTCCGTGCAGATTCGTTGGAGGAGATGCCGCGCGGTCCGGGCCTTGCACGGGTGCTGTGCTGCTTGCGTGGCTACCATGCCCCCGCCCTCACCCGCGCCTGGGGCAGCCCGGCCAGCAGTCGGCGCTCCGTAGAAACCCAATCTACGACCGATAGCGCCACCATGAGCATGCCGGACGAGGAAGAGCTGAACAGCAAATTTTCCGAACTGGTGGTGCGTAGATGCTCTCGCTCGAGTTGCGTTGGTATGGTGACGGTGATGTGTGATTGCCTTGGACGTGGCGACGCGCACTGCGACTCGAAACATACGCGCACTACCAGCGACGCGTGCGCGCGAAATCACATCCAAACTCACGACCACAGACGGTTAACAAAAATTAATCATTAAAACACATCACTTCCATTCTACTCTCATCTCTATTTCTAAAAAATGTATACTTGAATTATTATAATTAACGGGTACTCAGTAAAAATAGGAAGCTGTATTTCTAATTGATTGCTATAATTTTGTTTCTTGCGCAGGATGAGCTCGACTTGGCACCGCCAAACCGGGAAGCCATGTTAAATCTGTCTATCGAGAAAAAATGGCAAATCTACTGTTCGAAAAGAAAAGTACGTTTAATTTCGGGTTCCACTATCCGTATGCCGTTGATACAGTAATTTATTTCTTCGTATCCGGAACATTCAGCCAATATTTTAGTTAGAGGTATATTACTTCGCTGATTGTTCGTATGTTGCAACATATGCGTCTTATAGCGAAGGCGCGCGCATGTGATCTCATGGAACGTGTGCGCAGTTCTGCGCGACGTGAACCCATCGCAACTATCGATTATCTCTAATTGATAATCTCTTGATGCGACGATCCTCAAGGTTATCATATTATTCGTTAGTGTCTGCTTCGCTATAGGACATCACTGTACGCGAGTCCGTAATTATATAAGCTATAGAGTGGATCTGTCTGAGGTGCATAACAAATGCAAGACGTAACGCAAGTTGTGGATTGCGCCGGAGGGAATCCTGCTTTGTGTGTAAAGTTCGGGTTCGGGTTTCGAAGTACTTGTGTAGGCCTAATATTAAGCCTGCGCTACAGTGAACCGTCTAGTTATATAACTGTAGACGTCATATAAAAAGTTAAACGATGTTCGCATTAAGACGTCTTTTAGGCTTAAAATATTTAATGTCGCTAAATAAATGTTGACCATTCTGCTGGAACGCATTTTTGAATCTCCGGAATTGATTGTCGCAACCTGTCCACATACACCGCGCGTGTTTCTCCTAACCCAGGACCTATTAACGTCGTAAATCTACAATAGACCTTGCCGTGCGTGGGCTGGCTTGTAGACCGAGTGCTTTTCCATATATACTTAACTAATGGGAGGCCAAGGTCACAGATAGGTAAACATCGGTACTGTTTGCTGTTTGGAGAAACATGCGTAACTTTAGGCGTAAAGAACTTGGGAATGAATTAGCCTGATATACAAATGTTCGTCAGCCTATTTTCCGAATCTGCACGCAGAAGAAAATGTCGAATTATTATGCATAAATTACATGACTGACGACAGATAACTGGTCCGCACTGGGAACCGCTGCAAAGTAGAAATATACAAAGTTACGGTAGTGAACGGTAATCTTAGTTTGTTCCACTTCGTTGGCTCGTCCGCTTGATTATTATTTTTGGTTGAAGGGTCGATAATTTGTTATTGCTTAACAGGATAATTAATTACTACTGCATGATAAAACGATTGCGTGGCATTATAAGAAAGCGTTTCTGTATATTAGCGTAGTTTGATAGTGTATACGTTAGAAGGTAACCATTGATATAAAATTGTCTGCGGTAATAACAATACAATAGATAGTGAGTATAAATATCGCGCGTGTGTGTGTTCATGATATAGGAACAAGATGAGACGAACTCGAGAAACCTTCCAGACTATTACATCGACAGAGTTGGTGCATTATCTCTGGTACGTCTATCGAAATCAATATATATATATATAGAATATATGATTTTTATAACACGTAAAGCATTGTATTCGACACAGGCAATGTCTTATATCACAGCATGTTTTATTTACCGAGTGACTTGACTTAGGAGGTCCGGGGTTACACGGGTGTGCTAATAGCTACGATGCACTCATAACTTCGCCTGATTTAATAGCTACCCTTTAATTTAATATTTTAAGTTCCCGCTTCTTATACAAGCTATCACTGTTTATGTATTTTACAGTTCGATAGAAATACCAGCTTACAAAGAATAATTCGAATATAGATATGAACGATAATTTATGTTCTATCCTTTTTCATGTTAATTGTTATTCGTGTTTCTGTTTAATAGTTATTATTTCCACAAGACGCCCAAGAAATACGGGTACGAACGGAGCTCGTGGAAAGTTTGAAAACAGCGCTCAGAACACAACCAATGAGTTTTGTCATCAGGTATGAGACCTATTCTTTACATTAATCTTGCCATAATAATATAAAGATATTATGATACTAGTAATATTATAATATACTCAGCCACCAGCGGCCTGCATGCCCACTGTCATCATCGTTCTCGCTGCTGTAAATACGGTCACGGTCATTTCCATCAGCAACAATACTCTGCTCATCATTATTGAGCTTCTTGCTCTTTCGTCAATGCCATACTTGTCCCGATCGTCAACATGGTAATGATGACAATGGTAATCGATATTGTCCAAATCGGGTCCAATAAAATTGCAAACCGACAAAGTCTAAACCGACTGCGATTAACTCTAATAAGGAAGCCGATGCTATTTCAGATTCTTTCAGCTCGGTGGCCTAAGCTGCCTGCTGAACTTTCTCAGCAACATGGACTACGAGACGAGTCAGAGCAGCATTCACACATCAGTAATAGGCTGCATCAAGGCTCTCATGAACAACTCGGTAGGACACTATCACGCCAGTGGCGCCACCTGCTTTTCAAATATACCGGCGTTTGGAACGTGAACCGAGTTATGCCCTGGTCATGTCGCACTTAAAGCCTCTCTGATATCTATCAACATTATACGCCTGGCCTCTGCTATTATATATATATATATATATATATATATAGTAAGAGAGAGAGAGAGAGAGAGAGAGAGAGAGAGAGAGAGAGAAGAAGAAGAAGAGAGAGAGTAAGACGTAACGTAACGAACGTAAACGTAAAC